AACTTTCAATAAATTCAGTATTGATGGAACATATCTCAAAATAATAAGAGCTCTTTATGACAAACCCACAGCCAATATGATACTGAATGGGCAAAAACTGGAAGCATTTCCCTTGAAAACTGACACAAGACAGGGATGCCCTCTCTCACCACTACTATTCAACATAGTGTTGGAAGTTCTGGCCAGGGCAATCAGACAAGAGAAAGTAATAAAGGATATTCAATTAGGTAAAGAGGAAGTCAAATTGTCCCTGTTTGCAGATGACATGATTGTATATTTAGAAAATCCCTTTGTCTCAGATCAAAGTCTCCTTAAGCTGATAAGCAATTTCAGCAAGTTCTCAGGATACAAAATGAAGTGCAAAAATCACAAGCATTCCTATACACCAATAACAGACAAACAGAGAGCCAAATCATGAGCGAACTCCCATTCACAATTGCTTCAAAGAGAATAAAATACCTAGCAATCCAACTTAAAACCATGTGAAGGACCTCTTCAAGGAGAACTACAAACCACTGCTCAATGAAATAAAAGAGGACACAAACAAATGGAAGAACATACTATGTTCATGGATAGGAAGAATCAGTATTGTGAAAATGTCCGTATTGCCCAAGGTAATTTATAGATTTAATGCCATCCCCATTAAGCTACCAATGACTTTCTTCACAGAATTGGGAAAAAATTAATTTAAAGTTCATATGAAGCCAAAGAAGAGCCTGCATTGCCAAGACAGTCCTAAGCCAAAAGAACAAAGCTGGAGGCATCACGCTACCTGACTTCAAACTATACTATAAGGCTACAGTAATCAAAAAGTATTTTGTTAATAAATTACTGTGTAGCAGACATAGTATTCTTTCCCAGAAACTAAGAGAACAAGGAAGTAGAGGGAGCAGTCTTTGGAGTTATTTGTCTCTGAAGTTCACATTCTTTGAATCGTTCACATGGTTTTAAATAGATATGGGACATTACAGTGTATACACAAATAATTGCTTTATTTTTTATGTAAATGGCTGATAGTTGGATTAAGTTTGGAAACATCACTAGCATTTCTGTAAGGGAAAATGTATAAATTAAAATTTAAACATATGTTTGTGCCAACATTAGTCACTAGTGTGATGACCTCATAACTGGTGAAGACTTTATGTTCTGGTTGAAAGCTTGAAGTCGTATCAAAAGAAATAGCTGTAATAGTCTAGACAGGAATTTTTTTAAAAAAAATTAACTCAGTTTCTATCATTTTATATGTTGGTTGAACAAGTAGTAAAGGTTAGAAGTTTTAGGCCTCCAGAATGTATTTAAAGACACTCTTGGGGCTGTTTTCCAAGGTGCTTTAAATTTACTCAAAGAACTTTAAACTGTTGTTGAATGTTCTGCACAGTTTAGGGCTGAGGAAATAGCCTTTAACCGTTCTCAGTTCTGGACTTATAACTGGACAGTTAAGTGCCTTACCAACTGAGAGTTGAATTTCATTCAAGAAAAGAAAATCCAATGACTGGAACTTTCCCAACTGTGAGCAATGAAAACGGGAAAAGATGAACAAAAGGGGGAAGAAAAAGGGTAATGATTCTCACTGGGAAGAATTCCCTAATGGGAAATGTGGTATTTGTGTTTCTGTCAGTTATAAGCCTCCATTTTATATATTATAAAATTGATTTGTTTTAAGTAAAATCAGTCATTCTCTTTGCCTTAATTAAAAAAAAAATTCGTAGTTCACTTTTAGCTGTACAAAAGAGAAAGAAAATACATAAAATCTAGTTTTTGATTCATTCTCCTGAAATATCTTACAAGCTAGAAATTTTGAGGGTGAACAAACTATTACAGAATTCAGAGAGTTTAAGATTCACTGGAAATAAATATGATGGCTCTCCAAGGAGAAAGCTGGTGAAAATCTTTGCTACTCTGAAGCTTATATGAGACACGTTTTCTGTGGCATTTCTCCACTTAAATGGTCAGGAATTTAAGGATGTCCAGGATATGACCTTATGAACATCTGCACAGAGATGGCTGATACATTGACTTCAGAGCAAAGATAGGTTCTCCAAAGCCGGGCATATAAACTGTGATTAAAACACTGGGCTTTGAATTCAGAGTGATCTGGATTTATATCCTGATGCAACACTAAATATCTCTGCAAATATGAGGAGGTAAGTAAAATTCTTATTTTTCAGTTATAAACTTTTCATTCATTAGTTTTTTATCTGGTGAAAGTTAAATGTCCTAATGTATTTAATGACATTATTATTGTATGCACACCAAAATGTTGTTACTTTACTTCTCATGGGAAGTTTTCAAGAATGTTCTTAGCATTATTATCGTTTTCATTTTAAATTGTCATTTTTACGTTAATGTAGACATTCAGCTATGTCCTTTTGCAAATTATAAATGTGGTATTTGTTACATTGTTATAGCAACACTTGTTATTTCACAAAAAAACCATAATTTTTAAAAAAACTTTCTTGAAAAATAATTTATGTAAGATAAAATTCTTCCACTTTAAGTGTACATTTTGTATATATGTATATACACGTGGAATCACCACTACAATTAAAGTGTAGAACATTTCCCAGTATCCCAAGAAATTCCCTTCCCAAAAAATCAGCCGTCCATCCTAAAGAAATCTGTTCTGACACCATGAAGAGATTAATTCCGCCTTTTCTAAAAGACTCATATGTTATGTCTTCTATTGTAACTAGCTACTTTCTCTCAGCATAATGTACTTAAAAGCACAGAGTAGTTCATTCTTTTTCACTAGTGAATAGCATTTCACTGTATAATTACACCATGTGTTTTTAACAAAATCTATTTCTCTCTTGATGGAAATTTTACTTACTTCAAGTTTGGGCTGTTGAGTAAAGTTGTTATCAACACTTGTATATACATCTTTAAATGAGCATGTTTTCATTTATTTTGAATATTGAGAACTAGTATTTCTGGGTTGTAAGTGTATGTTAAATTTTATTTAAAAACTGCCACAGTATTTTTTCAAAATGGTTATGCTAATTTTAAATTTATAGGAACAATTTATGATAATTCCAGTTGTTTTACATCCTTGTCTAATGGGTTATTGTTAGTCTTTTTACTAATGATTCTTCTAATAGGTTTCTAAAAGCATTGCATTGTAACTTTACCTTATACTTTCCTGAAAACGAATGATATTTAACATCTTTTCATGTGCTTACTAGTCATTTGTATATCATGTTTTATGAGGTGACTATTAAAATATTGTGTCCATTTTTATTGGATTATTTGTGGGATTATTACTGAATTGTAAGAGCATACTATGTTTAAAAAACTTTCTTTGCATTTAAAATGTTTTTTTCTGCAAATGTAGAACTCAAAACTGCTAGACATCTAATAATGAATTTAATATAACAAAAACAAATTTAAGTATTATTCTGAACACATCTTGAATTCAGAATATATCTACATAGAGTTCAGATCAGGAATGACCTGGCAGCTACTCTAATCACTATGTCTGTTATACATTTCTAACCCTGAATCAACTCCACAGAGTCTGTTGCATTTGAATCAGCTGTTAAGGCAAACAAAACATTATTGAACGTTCAAATGGTGGCTCTTAAAGTCTTTTTTCAATCGTTAGCTGTTTGGATTTGAAAACACAGTAATTTTTGCCATGCAGATGCTGAGGTAATTCACACAATATACAAGATGAGTGAGTATTCAAGCACTGAAGAGAGATTTATTTATGATAAGATATAAATATCACACATACATTTTCCATTTCTTTTCCATATTTGTATAACATTAAATATATAATACTTTTTAACAATTATTTGTATATATAGTCAGAGATTTAATACATTTTTCTCTTTTTATGGAGTTGATTTTTATAACTTCAATGTCAGTGGTGTTAGACCTTATTTATTTTTGACATACTTATTACTTAGAGTTCCCTAATGTGTGATACACACAAAAGTTAATACTTGTTTTTAATTATATTTCTACCATGGAAGTATTTCAACTCATTTCTTTAGAGTCCCACCTGGTTAGAATTCTGTAAATGTGTTTCTCTAGAGACTGATATTTGAAACTATTATTTTTCCATTTAAATGACAATCAATTTATGTACTACCAAAGCAAATTAAGAGCCAAAATATATATTATTTTACCTAAACATCAAAATTTGTCTTGTTTGGTTCAAACTCTATCAATGTTGGCAGTTGAGGAATTACAATATATGTTTTAATTTTTTTTTTCGATTCTTCAACAAACATATATTGAGTACTATTACACATGGGGTACTATTCTAAGTGGTGATGCACACAAACACACTATAATCAATTCTTGTCAGTCCTTTTCTAAAATAGCTCACCATCTGCTGAGAGAGAAAAAAATGCCAATAGGTTATTACAGCTTTTAAACAGTCAACTTATAATACAGTATATACTTTGGGAAGTTAGTACATTTATATGGATTTATTTATTTAAATCACCATTGTTCGCCTTACCTAGTTAGCTTTTCCTCGGTACTGTGCACAATTGCATTAATCAGGCAAGATCCATCCAGATAATAAATATATCTGTAATTATGGAAGATAATGGGGGAGGATGCTATATTTTAATTTGGAACTTTATATATACTAAACAAAATTAGCTATAAATGACTGAAACAATATCAATGAATTTTTTTTTCTACACAGTTCATTATAAATACATTAGTAACAATACTCAGGATTTTTATGTAAATCATAAAATATCTATATTTAAGTAACTTGTATAAATACTTTCTATCATGTAGAGAATATTCAATTATCTGGCCATTTTAGTTCCTTATTTCCAAGTTCTGAAAATGTTATTCTTTATTATACAGAGTTTACTCTTGAATAACAACTGTGTTAGGGGCACTGACTCCCCTGTGCAGTTGAAAGTCCCTGCATAAATTCAGGCTCCCAAAAAAACAACTAATATCCAACCATTAACTGGGAGCCTTACCAATAACATCAATTAACACATATTTTGTGTTATATGTTATGCATGTATTATATTTTTACAATAAAATAAGCTACAGCAGAGAAAATGTTATTAAGAAAACCATAAGGAAAATATACTTAGTGTTCATTAAGTGGAAGTGGGGCACTATAAAAGCATCTTTATCCTCATTGCCTTCACGTTGAGCAGGCCGGACAGGAGGAGGAAGAGGAGGTGTTGTTTTTGCTGTCTCAGGGATGGCAGAGGCAGAAGGAAATCCACACATAAGTAAACCTGTACAGTTCAAACCCATGCTTAAGTGTCAAGTGTATATTTATTTATAATATACTGAATTGATATGGAATGCTACTTTATAATTTCAGAACTTTTGTTATAAATCTCTGCTTCTGCATTGATCTAGAAATTCTTCTTAAATACATAAATCATCTTCTAATCATGAATTCCCTTATGCAAAATTCCATTACATGCAAAATGATTTCCGAACGTCTTTTGAGAAATGTGATCATTTGTGTTCCATATTTTGAAACATAAGTTTTTTTTTTTGTTAATATTTTCTAAGTCTTGTTATTGGAATAAGGCAGGAAATAAATAAACAAAAAATATGAAACTAAGAGGTATTGGTAATAGAAACGAGAGTTAAATAGGGTAGAAATATGTGCCATTCTCTTGCTGCTGAGATTACTGAAGATACACAGAAGTAACTGAGAAAAAGTGAACCAAACTTTGGGCTAGAATTTTTTCAGTGTGTTGCCAAGGAAAAACGAACATGTGCCAAAAATTATTTAATCTGTTCTGGAATTAGAAATTTCCATGAATAGAGTTAAACTGTCTAACCCTGTGAGCTGGGAGGAATTTGAGAGTTGCCTAATGAGATTTGCTAAGTAGTTCAAGCAAAGGTTTCTCAGCGTTTTCTTATTTTTCTGGCATTGGAGTTTTCTGTACCAGGGGTTAGGTCAGGGAGTTGGTTATCAGCAAATCTAAGTGGTAAGACTAATCATTCCTTAAAATATTTAATTGTGACCTTCACATACCAGGCAGTCTTATAATGATACATCTGAGATAATTTCAAATAACCCAGTTTGGGATTTATATTAGAATAAATGGAGTGCAATGTATTCTAGGTTTAATTCCATTCTTAACATTAGTATTTGAAAAAAATGCACTTTTTTTCAACTTTGGAAACTTTTTACAAGTTTCTAAAAAGATGGCTGTTATTAAGATTCAATTCTATTTTGCTGGCAAAATATTCATCACCAGAATGTCAGAAGCATAGCACCATTTTGTGTATGATTTAGATATTTATTGTTTTAAAGAGGTATAATAGGCCCATCAACATCTTTTCAAGTTTAAGGAAGAGGTAGAAATTTGCTTACCGATATTTATTTTAGTGAATTTGCCTAATATTTACTCCCGTTTTGAATTTAGTTATATTATCAAATATAAAAAATACCATATTAGATGGTAGTATAATTAATGGCATAAGTAAGTTCTCAAAAAAAAGTCCCTTATTGCTACACAGTTGGTTTCAAAGCAACTCCACTTAAATTCCTAAGGTTTGACCACTGAAAATATTAACTATAACAACCTTTGACGTAGATGGCACTGCTCTTAGCAAAATAAACTTTATGGTGTACTTATTTCCTTTGCATCAGTAAACATTAAACCTGTTTGTTCTGTTCTGCATTCTCCTGTGTTTTTGTTTGTTGTTGCTTTAATTTTTTTTAATTTGATGCTACTTTTTTCTTTCACTGATTCCACAAGTCATATATTCACTGATTCCCCATTCTTTCACTGATTCCACAAGTCATATATTCTTTCCTTTGGTGATGTTTATTTTACTGAATTTCAAGTGACTCCATACCTCTTGGCAAGTTTATATGCTTTTGCTCTGTCAGTTTTTGCCAAGAAAGCTAAAATCAAAGACCTCTTTCCTTAGGACTTATGTGTGTTCAAATGCTAGCATCTAGCAGTGAGAGTATGAAATGCTTTAATATAATCAGTCAGATCTGCTTCTGTTATTTTTTTAATTTGTATACATGCGTGAGGGGTAGAAGTGATGTTTTGCTGTTTTTCAAGCTTTGGTGAAGATCTTACAGTGGTTTAATTAAGTCCTAATTAATGATACTAAGCCTCTCCCCTAAAGTGGTTAATCTTCAGCATTAGTATTAGGGCACATATATTTGCCTGGGTCATTGAAATAGAAGACGTTGAAATGAGAATTCTGGATGAAACTAAACATTTGGGGGAATAGATATGTGTCGCTGCTACAGGAAAATACATTGGATGATCTTTATATGCATATGATGTTGGCTGCTATTCATGCCTAGGCGCTTTTATAAATATATATATACACACATATTTATATATATACACATATACATGTATATATATATATATACACATATAAATATACATATACATGTATAAATACATATACACATATATATTTAATATATATGTGCACATATGTATGTGTGTGTGTGTATATATATATATGTATACCCTTTGAAAAAGAACTGAGTGATCTCTAGAGGCTAATTCTACTCGACTCTCATTCAACTATAAGTACTGGTTACTTAAGGTGATTTTTTTGGTTGGAGGCTGTGTGATCATTGATGCTGATCCAGGGTCAGCTGCATGCATCAGGGCCCTAATGATCTATCACCTGGTCATTTTCCACTTGATGGCTATCTCTTCTTTCCAGCTGGTTAAATTTTATTTTATTATGGGTTATAGAAACTTCATTTATCATGCATTATTCTCATCAACATGAGCTTTACAATTAACTTCAAATCTTGAGGTCCTTTAGTTTCTTAGCCTATTTGAAACTCAAAAGCACTTGTCTTGTTCAAATAATTTAGCCCTTATAAAGCCCTGTCAAGCTGATGTTTCTTGGTATTAGTTTCAAGACTCTACTCTGAAATAATAAAACACAAACTATCTATTTTGCATCATTCATTCATTCATTCATTCCCTCAATGTTAATATTGACTTAGAGCTTCAGGCACTGTTTTTGGTGCTACGGTTAGAGAAATAAATAAGACAAAGATAGCCTCTGCTCCCTTGTGAAACTTAAATTAGTTGTGAGTGGGAAGAATAAGGAGTGATGGAGAGTAAATAAACAAGTATGGAGAAATTCTGAGAAAGCAATAACTGCAATGCAGAGAAGTAAAACAGAGTGATATATGGCATGCCTTGATAGCTAGTTTAATTTACGTGGCCAAGGCTGACCGCTCTTAGGAAGTGACCTATATGCTGAAATTTGAAGGAAATTTGTATGACTCATCAACGCAAGCACACTATTCTGAATGAGTGAAAGGGTATTGAAAAGGAAAGTTAAGGTGATACAAACACAGCAGCAATACCAATGCAGTGTAGGCTTATTTATCAAAACTAGTATTCAAAATATTAGCCTTCATTGAAAAAGACTGAATGTATTTACAAATATTTTGTTAAGTAGATAAAATTTTAAACCATCTAATCTTGTCATTCTGTTCTTTCTTCTTCCTTTATTCCCTGCCTCCCTTTCTTCCTCCCTCCTTCCCTCCTTCCTTCCCTCCTTCTCTCCTTCCCTTTCCTTATTTTTTCCTTCTTTCCTTCCTCCCTTCCTCTTTTCTTCCTTCCTCCTTCCCTCCTTTCCTTTCTTATTTCCTTCCTTTCTTTCTTCTTTCCCTCTTTCTTTCCTTTCTTCCTCTTTTTTTCTCATGCTCTTACATTCTTTCCTTCTTTCTGTTTTTTCTTTCAGTTAGTGTATATTAAGTGAACTACCATACACCAGGCACTATGATGGACACAGAAATGCTGTAGTGAACAAGAAAAACATGATTTCTCCCCTCATGGAGGTAAAACTCTATTGAAGACAACATATTTTAAATATAGGTTTTGTGAGTAGTTATTAAGTAAAATTGTTATAAATGCTACTACAAAGAGGTAAGTAGAACTAGTGTTATTCAACATTTGAAATCATCCTTCTTCTTGTACTGAGAAAAAGTGCAAGACTTTTCACAAAGGCTTTCTTCCAACTTTTATGTGATAAATCAAAAATGACTGAAATAAGAACAAATGGGAAGATTCACGTTAATGCAGTAGTTCATGAATATTTTTCTAACTTTATTTTGTATTAAAATTATTGATGAAGCTTGTTTATAATCCAGAGTTCAGATTCATTTAATTTGATGTAGGGATCCAGAATCTGAATTTTTAACAAATTCTCAAATAGTCCTTGGACTGTACTTTGAAAAACCACTAGCTATAATCACAGTAGACATAGAAGGGATCTCCATCTAAAATTTGGTTGTGATATCATGATTGATGATGTCACAGATGCACCAAGAATGCGCAAAAATGCCACAATGAGCCTTTCTAAGTCAAGCGGGGCAGGCTTTCCAAGTTTATTTAAAAAATAGTTTGAGAGAGTGAGGAAAGGCTTCAGGCTTTTAATGGTAGTTAGGAAGGGGAACTGGGGTAAACGTTTTAATTTTCTGCTGGTACCAATGGATGGAATATCTGGGATTCTTTATCACCATGTCCAGAGGCGGGGCAAAGGGAAAGAGGCAGGAGTGTTGCTTAACAGCTGGCGGGATCCGCTGGGCGCAGAGGCTCACGCCTGTAGTTCCAACACTTTGGGAGGCTGAGGCATGTGGATCAAGAGGTCAGGAGTCCGAGACCAGCCTGGCCAACATGGTGAAACCTTGTTTCTACTAAAAATATAAACAATTAACCAGGCGTGGTGGCAGGCACCTGTAATCCCAGCCGCTAGGGGGGCAGGAGAATAGCTTGAAACAGGGAGGCGGAGGTTGCAGTGAGCCAAGACCGTGTCACTGCACTCCAGCCTGGGTAACAGAGTGAAAGTCCATCTGAAAGCAACCAACCAACCAGCTGAAGAAAACAGAAAAGCTGCCAGGATCCGGCATCAACCCTGGAGTCAGACCCCTTAGTACGGATCCAAGAATGAATAGTTGTGACATTGTGTTATTTACTGTGTCTGAAGTGAATTCTGTTCCTACATTTTGTAATCCTGTCCAGTTTTCTTTTTCTTTTGAGTCAAATTGAACGTATGCTCAGGTACATATGCTGACACATTTAAATAATAGTTTTGCCTCATATGGTAGGTTATATTATTGTTCAGCAAATATTCACACTGATCACTAACTTATAGGAAAGAAGGGCAGAACCCCAACTCAATGATGTTGGTCTTAGCCATATGACTTTCCTTTGACAACCAATGGAATATTGAAAAATGTGACACGTGTCAGTTCTCAGCCACGGCCTTA